CAGCCCAGCCTGGTTGAGAATGCATTGCTTATTTAATCAAAAGCAAGCGAGATAAAGAGAATCGCTATTATTTGATATACAACCATACAAAATTGGAACGTCTTAGCAGGATTTAGAAATGAGTTGATTCGGACTCTCTTGACTATTTTATTATTGGACTAATAGTAGTTCTGCCAGTGATGTATGGTTTCAGAGGAAGAAATACTACCTCCTGAGCCCCATGGCCATATCTCTAATGGTTTACACAACAAGCTTGCCTAGTGAATCAAATTCAACCTTCCTCAGCTCACACAATACTTCCTCCTGAAGCGCACTACGACGGTTCTATTCCCGGTTAGGGTGCTGATAAGATTACGAAAGGAGGGCAAAACTAAGAGGTATTCTGTATTGGAATGCATGGCACAGTGAGATTCATTGTAAAGGTCAAGTGCCTCTATCCTTCCAATAGGAAACCAATCGAGTCTGCTATGCCTATTGACTGCGAAAATTGACTGCTGACTAAATGTACCATCCCCCATTCCGGACGACGACTGTTTAACGTCGTTCCAGTACGAAGGGGTAATTTGGGATCTTTGATCATCGTAATTAGGCACAATATGAATCAAGAAGCAAAGCTGAACTGCCTTGGCTATGCGAGTAGAACGTTCTGTTACATCGTTTCCAGGTTTTTTCTCCTGCTCAAGTGCCATGACCTCATGCAGAGAGCTCCTTGTAACCAACCCCATCAAGATGGATATAGAAAGCAACAGGTAAGAAGCAGTTTCATTGGCCAGAGGGAGATGAATCAGTAATTTGTCTGGTAAAACTGGGTACTTGATGCAGAGGTTATGGCAATAAAAAACCCAAAATGTGAGGGCACTACCCGGCAACGGAGATGAAGTCTTCGAGAGACGTCTTTGCGAAATGGCACCTCTGCATGCTGCCTTCAGAAGTGCAAGCAAACCCTTGATTACGTAGTTAAGCCAGCCTTACAGAGAAGTGTCTTGAGGTCGTCACGAAATCGTGTCTACGAAGGCAGAGCTAAATGTTCGCCGCTTGTAGCGTCGAAGGCGCAATCGTCTCGTCGTCTTATGTTCCTTCAACTCATACGACACTGCCCCATAAGAAACTACCTATTTTATCTATGCATTTTGGTCATTCGTTTGTGCCTGCCTATAAAAATACTTGAAGACAATGCATACTGTTCGCATATCGGTATACTTTTAACACCAACGCATAGAAATAACGATGTGCGAATTCGCAGGTGGATGGGTTCGACGTTTGATTTCCCGACTATGTGCATGTGTGCGTATCAGGTGACATTCACCTCGGCATAAGCAAGCCGTGTGTATGCGCGCAAGCGTAGGTGTGTGTATGTATAAGTTTGTTATCGCTTGTAGGTTTGTGTGCAACAAAAGGGTGACGATATAAATTGCGTGTGTGTCATTGAGGGTTTGGTGTCCTGTGGAGCAAATAGGTGGTGGTAGTTGACCATGTGACCTGGAGGTTAGACTGTGTTGGCAGGATGGCTATATATGGGAGGAGAGAGTAGGCCGATTTATGAACGAAATGACCCGGCACCCGAAAGACAATAAAATATGGCCTACCAGAATAAACCCACCTGTAGGTGGAGATCTGGTCAACCAGAAAGGTCATAAACAGAGAGCAGAAATTGGCCGGACACGAGCTGGGCTCGTCTAGATTGGGTCGGGCTGAACCTGTCGACTCAGTCTTTGGCATATATCTACACGTAAATGTGTGAATTGTGTGCCAGAGGTAGAGAGGGCTGTTGAGGATTTGTGGCATACAAGTGAGCGAAGGCATGCAGATGCATATGAAGGTGACGGCAAGTGGGAGTCATGAGTGTGTGTTTATGGTAGGGGTATCGTGAGAGTGTGCTGAGGCGGAGTTCGTGCCTGTAAAGCACAAGAGAGCAGATCCGTTGGAGGCGGGTTATAGGTTTCACCTACACCATGAGGAGGAGGCTTTAAACTCGTGTTTGTGCATATTGATGTGTGGTCGACCGATTGTGTGTGTATGTGTGTAGTCGTTGTGTGAAGACTTGTGTGTGAACTCTTGTGGAGTCTTATGAGGAGTGATAGATGAAAAGAAGTGTTTTTAAGCGTAAAGACAACAGTCTGGATCCAAAATTATTATTACTTGAGAAAATAAGCTTGCCAGATTCATACGTTTCTTTTCGAGTTGGTTGATCAGGCATGCTGATGCTCGGAAGGGTCACGTGTCGTTAACACAATATCCTCACACACTTCCAGCATTATTGTAAAAAATTATACCCCTAGCTATCTCGGCCAATAAGTCATCCATATGCCTGTACTGTAAGGCCTCCAACGACGAGAGGCAGAGGAAAAGCAGCAGAAGATACATCTCTGCACACCAAGTCCATTTCCCCCCTAGCCAGCCGGTTGATTGTGATACAAGAAGTAAGATGTAAAGACCCAAAATACCCGGGTCACAATACCGGTGAATTGCCTGGACTCGATAGCTTGCATATGGTTGTAATAAAAATGCAGCATCAACAAGAATGTCCCGGTAAAGCTAATCGTCTAGAGACTAACTCGAAGGCGCATATCAAAATCTTCAGAAAATCATCCCAGCTTTGATGCTAACAAAAATATAAACTAGAATTATTCGAAGTTATGAAGACCAAGATGTTGTGGCCTGCTGTATGGTCGCAGTCTCCTTTCGATGTATAGAAGTGGGTTGACCTGGTTGTCGCAATTTGGTCTTGTTGTCAGGGCGACTTAGTAAAACACAACTAGTCCGGAGTTCTCTGCCATAGTAGTTATCATAATTTCCAGCATAAGACAGTAGACTTGGTACATTCTCAAACGTTTCGCTGGCATCGTAGTCGGCATCATCAGTGAGTTTTGCTATTCTCCGCACCAAGCTACGAACGCGTCAGAGACAAGTGAAGTCAATCCCTCAGTAGACGTTCTGCCGAAAACGGTTACACTATCACTCCTCTTTCTGTCCTGGCCTATCTATCTACTCTTTACCCTGATGCTAGGAATCATGACAACTACTATGACAGACGACTTCGGACTAGGTATGTTCTACTAAGTCGCCCTGACAACAACAACAAGTTTTGACAACGAGGTCAACCCACTTTTAGAATTATTCGAGTTATAATAGTGTTTAATTTATCCTACACCATAATTTTCAGGTTTTCTTGATGCTTCTAAATAAACTATAATATGCCTATCTTTGAACACCCAAGGCGAATTGGAATTGTCTTTACCCCATCTATTTTAGATATGATGTGATTGTAGAGATGTAACTCCCCATATTCATTATGTATTACCATTTGGTTGATATGGGACTGCTATTGCAGGATATTATATAGGTGGCATATTTTGGTAAGATATGAGATTACTATAATTTATACTCAGGCACATGGTATCGTTTAAGCCGTGAATTACACCTTATTTCTTTTCCCAAGCATTATTTTGGTATGTGTGGTATACCATGTCGTTCTTGTATTTATGCTTCTTAATTCTATTAACAAATAAGGTGTGTTGGTGTTTCTGTCATGACATCAGATGTTTCCTATAACCCTTCATCGTAATTCTGTGAAGTCTCCTGAATAATTACTAATATAATATAATAAGTTCGAACTATGCTATATTTCAAATTAAGATGTTCGGTTTATTCAATCAATATAAGAATTATCTTACTTAGTTTAATTAAATATGATGATTTGGAAATTCATCAGTGATAGAAGCTTCACGTATTAATATGCTGATAATGAGAGCTGGTGGGAGTTTGCGATGTTAAAATAAACAAGTTGCGACCCGCCACAGTGACGAAGATTGCTACAGTGATGGATCAGTTCCCAAAGTAGCTCAGCCATTACGAACGCAATGGGAAGGCATATTTAGGTCTTTAATACCAACAGAAGAATATAGATTACATACTATTTCCTCATCCATTTCCAAGGGCATGAAAAGTTGGTCGGAAACAAGTGTTGACTCCATTATAAATGAGCCAGATTTCAGCGCAACTACACATTTAAAAGGACAACAACAATGTCCTGCAGAAAAGTTAAGATTACCATAAACTCGGCCACTTCAAGATTATTTGTCTGATGTGTGTGTGGACAAAACCCATCGCTGAGTAGAAACAGATTCGCTAGCACAGACGTGAAGCTTCAGTCCACAGTCGTACTATGAGCGATAAGGATAGTACAATCTCAAGGAGGCTGTTCATGCAGAATGTAGGATTGGAAGATAAAATTATACGATTAATTAGTGGATCAGAGTGAAAACCGAGTTCAAAGCTCTTTTATAGGATCTTTGAAAATACAGTCCACTGACTTATTGCGCAATTTTGGGATAAAGTAGTTGTGAAATCCATTAATCATGTCTAGTCCTATCTTCACTTCACTTTGGCCATCCGAAATACGATTCGGAGCACGCTAAAACGAGTTACGATTATTCACAACATTAACCAATTACTATCACTTGATGTCAGCGTAGGCCTTTTCCTAAATCAATTATCTAGAATCATAGTTTCAGGCTGTTTTTGTAATTTGCAGCATGGGAAACTTTTCCTCAACTAATGAAAAAAGCATGCGCCTTTTAGGCGTTACTGGTTTAGGCTTTAAAGCAAAATTGCCCAACCTAAACTCAACTGTCGTGAAAGCCATAC